TGGCAGAGATGGGAGAGGGAGGATAAGTAATCTGGAGCTGGGCAGATGGCTGAGCAGGATCCCCCTAAGGTGGGTTCCGCTGGCTCTGGCTGGAGGTTCTACCTGGAAACAGGAGACAACTGTCTTTTAATGTAATTATTTGTTCCTTTTGTTTCAGGGATTAGAAAAACCTAAAGTAGCTTCTTGTGGCAGCATGGAAGGCAAAGGAGGGCTAGTCTGGTGGGAAGGCTTAGGATCCCAGTCTGGACAGCCACAGGGTCTAAGGAAACTGCGGGTGTCAGGACCTTGGGGTTGAGCCTGAGATCTGGGCTAGACAGAAGACTATAGCCTCATTGATGGGAAGTAAGGCATGGAGGGCTGAGCTCTTGGACATGTGCAGAAAGAGCGGAGGGCTATGGCTACCTCTAGCTGTCCTCGGGAGCTGTCCTTCGCTCTCCTGTCTTGCCATCTCCCTGGGGAGGCTTCATAGGATGGTGTCCTCTGCCAGCCTAGGGCAGGCATAGGTCTCCCTGCACTTCCTTGTCTCCTTGGGGTCTGAGTGATCCTGTCCCCCAGCACCCACACATGCTTGGGACTTCTCATTCTGCCCTAGGTGACTTGAGAGCATCTGTGGACCCCGTGGGGGGTCACAGAAGTTACAGGTATAGAATTGGAGAATGTTGGAACTAGAAGGTGGCTTCAGAAATGATCTTCTTTGTATAGGTTCAAGATAGGGAAACTGAGTCACATGGAGTGGTCAGCACTGTGTTGGGTCTCACATGAAAAGCATTGCAGAACCTTGACAATAAGTCAGGAATCTGGCTTTTCAGTCCCAGGATCCCCTGCTTCTGGGCCACCTGGGTTCCCCCAGGTGTAAAGGGGAGAGTGAGCCCAGCTGGGTAAGAGCTGTCAGCTATCCCTGAGGCCAAACCCCAGGATCCCCTATTATGTCCCCCCGACTTCCTTCCTATGTGTGTGGATGGTCAACCTTCCCAGGCTGGGACTGGCCTCCTGTGCTCCCGTTTCTGCCCCAACAACAAGGAGAGACTTGATTAGTGCAGGCTTACTGTTGGGCTTGCCTCTCTAGGACAGGATGGGAGCTCAGGTGGTGGGAGAGGTCCCTGTGAAAAAGGTGACTAGAGGAAAGTAAGAAACAGATATCAAACACCTTTTGATCCCCAGTCTGTGCCCCTGTGGCTTTGCTAGACCCTACATTAATTTTGTGTATTCTTTGCAGTTGGAGGAGAGGAAAACACCCGAGTTCAAATGAGTGGCTCCATAGGGGCTATGTGACCTGGGGCATGTCAGTACCCCTCCTGGTAAAATGAGACAAGGAACAGCCTCTTTCACTCTCAAGTGAGGCATGGAAAACCGGGCAGGCCATGGGCTGTTAGCTTGTCTTTTGGCAGGTCCTTCAGTTCCCTGCCCAGTGGGAAATGGGTCACAGGAAAGAAGGCAGGTCCTCAGTGCTATAGGGAGAGGGAGAGCACTGTGCTTGAAGTCCAGAGGACAGGTGGGACAGAAGTACTCTGGGTATGGCTGGAACCCAGACAGGGTGCTGCAAGGTGGCTACCCCCAGTGGACAGATGGGGAAGCAGGCTCAGAAAGGCCCACCAGCTGGTCAGTGGTGAGAGTGGGATTTGAGGTCAGAACTGCCTCCCTTGCCTTCCAGACCTGGTTTCGGCTCTCAGCTGTGCCACTAACTGCCATTGTCTGGGCTTTGGGGTTTGCCTTTGTCCAATGGGACTGGGAGGGTGGCTGCTGAGGGCTGGGCTGCTGCCATAGGCTGGAGGGGAGGCTGAACTTTCAGTCACCTCCTCCACCCAGACAGGCAGGTTCTAAAGGTTCTGGGTATGGCTGTTCTTGGAGGAATCCCTCCTAAGCCACACAAAGTAAGAGGATCCGTGACACTGTGCTGAAGGATTGGGCTTCTATGTGTGTGTGCAAAGCCCTTCAGAGCCTCCTGCACCCCTTGCTTTCAGCTAGTGTGTGCCCTTTGTGCATGGCATGGTGGTATGGGAACCTGTGAGCATATGTGTGGGGCCATTCTGAGAGTCACACTTGAGGACTGAGCATGAAGTAAGGCAGAGGTAAGTTTATTGAACACCTATTAAGTGTTTGTTACAGTGCCAGGTGCTTTACATGCATTACTTCATTTAATTCTAAAAACCCATGCTATGTACTATTACTATTCCCATTTAACAGATGAGGAAACTGAGGCTCAGATAGATTGAGAGACTTTCAAGATCACACAGTTAGTAAATAGAGGAAATGGTATTCCAACTTAGGAATTGGGATGGATGGCTTGCTGATGGCTGGGGGCTGCTTAGTGGGCTGTGGACAATGAAAAAGAGGTGAGAAAGCAGGGGGCATTGGGGGCTTTCCCCCCCCTTGCCCCGAGCTCACATCCCTGCATGCTGAGAGGGCAGCTCATTTTACTTGTCTCTTATTCTTCTCCCTTCTTTTTCCTACCTCTGGAACATGGAGAGTTTGTGTGTGTGGTTTCTAGCCCCTCCCAGGTCTGTCCCTTGGAGGATACACACACACACACACACACACACACACACACACACATATACATATATATATGTATATATATAAAATCCTCACCAGAGGATATTTTTTTCCCATTCATTTTCAGACAGAAGGAGGGGGAGGGGGAAGAGGAAGGAGAGGGGGACATCACTGTGAGAGAGACACTTTGACTGGTTGCCTCCTGCAGGACCCCAACCAGGGCTGGGGACCAAACCGCAACCAGGGCTGGGGACCAAACCGCAACCGAGGTAGGGTGCCTTTGACTGAATTGAACTGGCAACTCCCTGGTTAACACTCCAACCCCTGGGTGGAGACAGTAAACATTTTATCTCTACCATGTCTGCTGCTGAAAATTGCTACTTTTAACACTTTTTTCCCCCTTTTGCTTGATACAAATGAATGCTGGAAAAATTCTGTGCTGGGCACTTACTCTGAAGCTCATGCCCAGAGTCCCCTCCAAAAGCTTTAATTGCTTTTAAGTTGTGATAGTTGGCAAAGCAATTTTCTTTACATTATGGAGAAGAGGGGAGAATCCATTACATTTTCTTCTTTTTTTACTGTATCCTTTCATTTTGAGTTCTTCCTTATTTCTGTTAAGGTTCTGGAAGAGAAATGGATTAGAAAGACATGTGGGCAGGGAGACATGGCACCCTTAAGGCATTTTGCCTTTCTGGGCCTCAGTTTTCCCATTCACAAGGTGGCTTTGTGTCCATTCATTCACTGAACAGACATTCCCTTAGTACATCCATTGGAAGCAACTTGAGGGTGAGGACTCTCTCCTTCACTGCTGTATCTCCAAGCACCCAGCACAGAGCCTGACAACACAGAGTAGGTGCTCATTTAATATCAGGTGACTGGATCATTAGCTCCACTGTGAGCCAGGCACTTTGCCAAGCACTGGTAATGCACGGGATGGATCAGATGCAGCTTTGGGCCATGAGAACTCACTGATGGGAGGTGAGCCACTAAACAAATGTAATTACTGTATTACTGAGTCGTAATACAGGTGGGTACTTGGTACTTAGGAGCACAGAGAAGGGAGGGCCAGGAGAGTCAGAAAAGCTGCAGTAGAGGAGAACTTGGACTGCACCATGAAGAGGGAGTAGGAGTTTGACAGGTTAACTGGGGCAAAGGAGGAGGGAATTCCAGACAGGAAATAGCATGTGCAAAGATGAGAGGAGTTGTGGATGGGGTTGGGCTAGGGAGGAGGTGAGGCTGCCCGGTTGAGCCTGAGTTGCCTGGGAGAGGTTTACATGGAAGTGGGGAGTTTAGATTTGGTTTCAAGGATAACCAGGAGCTCTGAAAGGGTTCTGAGTAGAGGACATGTGGGGATGATCCCTTTGGCTCCACAGTAAGGGGGTGGGGGAGGGAGCATGCTGGCTGAGAGGCTGGTCTCAGGTGAGCTTGTGGGGAAAGGGAGGATGGCAGTGTGAGTTTGAGACAGATAAGGTGGGAGTGGGGGTATCACCCAAATCCTGGTGCTCATCTCTTCTCATTGCGCTGTGGCTCCAGGCCTTCCCTGAACCCTGGAGTGGGGGTCCCCTTAAGGTGTATAGCCCTTTAAAGTGTAAAAAGTTTACTCACCTCTGACCCTTAGTAGATTTTGGAAACAGTCCCATGAGGTGGGCAGAGTAGATAGAGGAGGGGGGTCTTCCCCACTGACCCAGGTTTGCCTTAGGGTCTTGTAGGCAGGTGGAAATGGTGTGGGATTTGAACCCAGGTCTTAGGACTTCTAGCTGGCTGCCCACATCACGTCTGCTGTGCCCTCTCCATCCCCAGCCATCTCCTCCCCTTCAGGGCCCTGTGCACCTTCTCTGTTTGTGGAGTGCGTGGGGCTTTTACAATTTTTTTTTAGAAATTTTTTTTTTTTTTTTTTTTTTTGTACATGTCCCTAGCAGGAACCAAACCCGGGACTCTCTGGTCTGCAGGCCGAAGCTCCAACAGCTGAGCCAAACAGGCCAGGGCATGTGTGGGGCTTTTCAAAAGCATTAATGATAGAAAATAAATTGGAATTGGAGAGGAATTATCTTTGGGCATTCTCAGAGGGGCGCCTCTGCCCTTGTGTCTCTCAGCCATATTGAAGCCAGCAGTCAGACCAGAATACGAATGAGTCTGGGCTGGCATTGCTCTTAATCTGTTGGGGGAGCCCTCCTTGGCCATATGGCACTCACCAGCAGCAAAGCTATTTGCAGTGAGGCCTCAGCAGTGCTGGACTTCACTGACTAGGACTGAGTTCTCTGGGGTGGAGGCACAGTCTATGGCTGTGGAGGAGGGGTGGATGGGGCCTCTCACCTAGGTCCCCCCTCCATCTCAAGCCCTCTGCTGGGGACACAGCTCTGAGGCCAGCCCCTGGTGGGGTCACGTATCTCTGCCCAGGGGGAAGGGGCACATATGAAAAACTGCTAGTGGCTTCTCAGGGTCTGAATTCCTCAACTGCGTCTTCAGGCACCTGTATGAACTTGACCCTCTTTGTTCTGTCTCTTCCTGGAGGCCTTCTTTTATCACTGTTCAGCTCACACTGGGTTTTCCATTTTTAAGCCTCTCGTGCCCCCTGGAGCATGGATACAAACATATCACCTCAAGGGAACAGGCAGGTAATGAGTGAAGCAGGCTGGGTGTGATGCAGTAGGGAGTGGTGGGGACTGGCAATGTGGAGGCACAGGGCACCAGTTTGGGAGCCTTTACTCCAGGGCCACCATTTCTATCTGCCAACCAGCAGGGCACTCCCTGAGGGCAGGCCCTGCTCTCTACCCTGCAGCCTGTCTCCCAAAGACATGGGCATGGGCTGGACAATGAACAGGCTTCCAGTAAAGCATCAGAGGCTCTGGGGGCCTGGGGAATCACTCAGGGCTATCTTTTCACTTACAGATGGGAAACTGAGGCCCTCTGTTTATACATCTGTGCTCTTATAGTCCCCACATAGACATAGGAGGGCAGTTTTTGTACCTCTGTTTTAGAGAGGAGGAAACCAAGGCTCAGGGTGGCTGGATCCTGGGGTACACACCAGATTTGTGTTTGAATTAGTCCATTGGAACCCCCATGCCAGCCACCTCTTTCTCGCAGAACTAGTAGGTGCTGAGGCATGCAGTGTCACCTGAGGGGTGAAGTGCATTGGTGCCCAGAGTATAAGCCCAGCCAGGGGCAAGAGGCCTGGGATTCAGGCCCAGATCTGTGTGACCCAGGGCAGAGGGCTCTCTCTGCACCTTGGTTTCCCCAGGACAGACTGGGAGAGGCTCTGGAGGGGTGGAGACTTTGGGGAAATCCACTGAGCTCATGTGGCCTTGGGGTGGCTGCCAGCCCTGCTCAGCGCTTCTGTCCAGCCCCTAGGTTCCCTTGACCCCAGTCCAAGTTCATAATGAAACCTCTTCCTCCTGTGCTCGCTGGAGTCACTGTCATGTGGGAGCTGGTGGCTGCAGCACTCAAGCAGGCCCAGTTAGCAGTGTGAGGCAGCCAAGGCAGCCTGTCCCCTACCCCAGGAGAGAAGAGGGCTGCAGGTCACCACCAGGTGGGAAGACTGCCCAAATGCAGGACTGTGCACTCAGCCCTAGAGCCCAGAACCTCACCCCTGCATGGCCGAGCACCCCATTTCACACACTCAGAATGGATTCACAGGGATCACGTTGTGTAGCTCTGGACTGTATGATGGGGAAACAGACCCAAAGACCCTAAGTGAGACCCAGGGTTGCCACTCATTCACCCCGACCCCTGCCCCATCCAGCTGTGCTCTTGCTCATCTCCACCAAGGTGGCCCACCATCTTGGACATCTCTTTTCCCTGCTCAGGGCCAGTGTCTAGTCCCTGTTACTTCACAGGGGACCTGGCTGGGGCCTGGGGCTGCAGAACCTGTACTGGCCCCTGCCCCCTAATAGCCCTCTAATATGCAGGCAGAAGTGGGGCCCCTGAGTCTTTTCTCCTGGAGGATAGCCTTGTTCTTTCCTGCTCCATGGTTCTGTATCTTTTGGTCTGTGGGGCCCTTGGGGAATGAAAGCCACAGGGTATACCTGAAACAAGTACACCTCCTCCCCACTCTGTTCATCAATTTGTATCAGTGCTCACAGACCTCCTAAGTCCTGCTCACTGGAGACCTGGGTTAGGAGCTCCTGCTTTAATCGTTTCTCAGTTGACATGTTACCTGTCATGCTGACCTAGGACAGGCAGCTAGCCGTCTCAGTCCCCAGGCCACGCTCTTTCTGCTCTACTCTGTTGCCTTACGAAGGTCCCATTGCGCACCTGGCTGGGGCTCAAGTGCTGTGGTAATCCACTTATTCTTTCCACAAACTACTTTTCAATGTCTCCTCTGTGCCAGTCTCTGAGTGCAGGAAAAAAACAAGGGGTGGGTCTGCCCATGGGAAGTCACACCTGTCAGTACTCACAACTTCAGAGTCAGGGCAGGACAGAGGTGACAAAGGGTGGGGATAGTAGCCTTGAGGGAGGGGGGGTCAGAAGAGGCTTTTTCAAGGACATTGGGGACTGGTCAGGGAGGGAGGGCATCCTCATAGAGGGAACAGTAAGTGCAAAGGCTTGGAGGCCTGTCTCTGTCAAGGAGGGCAGGTACCTTGTCTAACTGGAGGGTAGTATTGGGATGCATTGGGTCAAAGCATGAGGCTAAGGGCCCGTTGGGGACAGGTCTCTGGAGTTTGCCATCTGGCCTGTCTTCACATCTGCTACCTAACCATATGCCCTAATACACACACACACACACACACACACACACACCCTTGGGTCTCCTGTTCCTTGACACACACACTACCTTCTTACTGTCATCCCTGGAAGTGACAACACACACACATGCACACACACTCACACTCTCCCCTGATAGAGACACACTTCCTCACACCACCTTCACAGTTCACCTTCGCAGATCCATGTGAACCCTCTCTCTGTGTGAACACCAACAGCTGCATACACCTGTCCCTCTTCTGCTTCCACCTTCTCTTTGCAGAGAGAAACACACCCCCAACTTCTCTGTTGCCTTTTTTTCTACTCTATCTCCCTCTTCTTCCCTAGTACCACAGCCCTGTAAGAGTTCAGAGTTGAGCCTCAAAGCCCTCTCCCATGTTGCCCTCACCCCTGAGCCTCAGCCTAGGTTTCCCCAAAACTGTGATATCCCAGTGTTTTTTGGATACCTAAGGAAACCTTCCATTCCAATTCTGGAGAGACAGAGCCCTGCCAGGGGAGCCAGAGGCCCTGGCTTTAGCCTCAGCCAGTCTGGACAGCCTGTGTGACCATGGCAACTTCCTGCCATGGCCTTTGGTTTGTCTGGCTCCACGTTCTTCAACAAAGGAGGTTCTTCAACTAGTGTTAGAGCCCTGTTGTCCCTGAGGAGGCCTGGGAACTATGGGGTTAGGGATAGGCCTGGACAGACCTCTCCCCTTTCAACTATAGCAGAGCTGCTTAGGTCTGCATTTTATATTAGGGTCCAGGAAGGATTTAAATGAAAAACAAACAAACAAACAAAAAACCATTAACTCTTTATTGGTTTTGCATTTCTGATTACAAAGGAAAATCTAAAAACATATTTATGGGTAATGAAGACCATGAAAGTTCCCTTGTTCCCCTCCTAGGAGGTGATCACTGTAACATCTGGATATTGCCTTTTGGGGCATATACCAACAAACTTATTTATAAAGATGGGTTCGTTCTGAAATAGTATTATACAGCTTGATTTTTTTTCTCATGTTGTTATACATAGAGGTGCCTCCTTCTGTCGAGTGGCCGCAGAGTGTTCCATAGCACAGATCGCGGTATTTTATTTGAACAGTCTCTTACTGACAAATATTTAGGCCATTTCTGATTTCTTTTTTCCTCTTACCAGTAACGCTGCTATGAGCGTTCTTAAATATTTATATGTGAGTGCCTGTGCTACCATTTCTGTAGGAGAAGCTCCTAGAAGTGGGATTGCTAGGTTGTAGGGTGCGTGGGTTTAAAATGTTATTCAGTATTGTCAAATTACTCTTTTTTATTTTTATTTTTTACTTTTTATTTTATTGTTGAATGTATTACAGATGTTCCTCATTTTTCCCCCATTGGTCCCCTCCCCCCACACCCGCCCCCCTCCTCCCCTCCTGCTTTTCCCCACACTGTTGTCTGTGTCCATTGGTTATGTACATAAGTTCTTTGGTTTATCTCTTCCCACTCCCCAACCCCCTTCTCTTTGAGGTTTGTCAGTCTAGCAACCAATTTATACTTCTTAATCCCTTCACCTTTTTCACCCATTCCCCCAACCCCCTTCCCATCTGGCAAGCAACAAAATGTTCTCTGTATCTATGAGATTGTTTCTGTTCTGCTTGTTCATTTTGTTTGTAGATTCCCTTGTCGATAGATATGTATTCATTGCCATTTTATTTGTTCATATATTTTATCTTTTTCTTCAAGAAGACCCTTCAACATTTCATATAATAATGGTTTGGTGGTGATGAACTCCTTTAACTTTTTCTTGTCTGGGAAACTCTTTATATGGCCATTGATTCTAAATGACAGCTTTGCGGGATAGAGTAATCTTGGTTGTAGGTTCTTACTTTTCATCACTCTGTATATTTCTTGCCACTCCCTTCTGGCCTGCAAAGTTTCTTTTGAGAAATCAGCTGACAGTCTAATGGGAACTCCCTTGTAGGTAACTAAATGCTTTTCTCTTGCTGCTTTTAAGATTCTCTTTTTATCTTGAATCTTTTGCATTTTGATGATGATGTGTCTTGGTGTGGGCCTCTTGGGGTTCATCTTGTTTGGGACTCTCTGTGCTTCCTGGACTTGTATGTCTGTTTCCTTCACCAAGTTGGGGAAGTTTTCTGCCATTATTGTTTCAAATAGGTTTTGATTTCCTGTTCTCTCTCTTCTCCTTCTGGCACCTCCAAAATGCGAATGTTGGGATGCTTGAAGTTGTCCCAGAGGCTTCTTACACTCTCCTCAATTTTTTTTTGGATTCTTTTTGTTTTTGCTGTTCTGATTGGGTGTTTTTTGCTTCCTTATATTCCAAATCGATGGTTTGCTTCTTGGCTTTACCTACTTTACTATTGAATCTGTGTAAATTATTCTTTATTTCAGTTAATGCCTCCTTCATTTCTGACTGGTCCTTTTTTATGCTCTTAAGGCCCTCATTAAGTTTGCTGAGGTTCTCACTAAGTTCATTGAGCATCTTTATAAGCAGTATTTTGAACTCAGCGTCTGTTAGGTTGCTTAACTCCATTTCGCTTAGTTCTTTTCCTGGGGTTTTGTTCTGTTCTTTCATTTGGAACCTGTTTCTTTGTCTCCTCATTTTGGCTGCCTCCCTGTGTTTGTTTCTGTGTATTACTTAACGAGAGGTATGGGGCTAGCTGAGACCAGATGCTGCTTGTTTGAAGGAATTTAGGAAAATCTGAAGCAGGGTCCAAGACAGGTCAATCCTATGGTTTAGCAACTGGCAACAGCTTGGGTGGGCCTGAAAGTTGGGTGGGGCGGGGCCTCAGGGAATCACCAGGGTGGGGCAACCAGTGTAAGCCAGGTTGCTGGAGTCCCAGATATGGCAGCTGTCTGCCGCCCCAGGGAAGGGCTCACCAAAGGAACAAAGGCCTCTGACAGCACGTTTGTCCTGGAGAAAGCCCCCTCTCCAGCCCTCCCTCCAGTGCCAAACAGCTCAGTTCTTCCCTGTATGTCTCTGGCGCCCCTCAAGCTGCATCCCCTCCAAGCTTAGAGGGAGTGAGTCCGATAAGTTCCTGCGTGGGCCCTTTAAGAGGATTTGCCTGGAGCTCCAGCCGCGTCAGCTTCCCTGAGCCTCAGTTCCCGCTGGTTTTTCCAGACAGAAGTGATGGGGATTCTCTTCCTGGCACTGGAACCCTGAGTTGGGCGCCTGGTGTAGGATGGGGACCCCTCAGTCCTCAGGGAGGACCTTCCCAGCCGAGGTATCCTCCTGATTTTTATCCTCCACACGTGGGTGTGGGACCAGCCCGTTCGCCTCCGCCCCTCCTACCAGTCTCGATGTGGCTGCTGCTTTATTTCCGTAGTTGTAGGACTTCCAGTCAGTTTGATTTCAGGTGGTTTTGAATGATGGTTGTTCTGTAGTTCAGTTGTAACTTTGATGTGGTTGTGGGAGGACGCAATACCACGTTTACCTACGCCACCATCTTGAACGGAATTCCCAAATTACTCTTTCAAAGGACGAGCCAATTTTTCCTCCCTCCAATGGTCTGAGTCCTAATTTCCCCACATCCTTGTCAGCACTGGCTACAATTAATCAATTTAATTTTCCTAATCCGATTGACAAAAAATGGTATTGTGTCATTTTCATTTGCATTTTCCTGATTGCTAGTGAGGTATAACATTTTTTCATACACTTATTGGCCATTTTATTTTATTTTATTTTTTTAACTCATCTTTATTGATGAATATATTACAGATGTCTCCTCATTTTTTCCCCATTGACCCCCTCCTCCTCAATCCTGTCCCCCTCCTGCCTTCCCCACACTATTGTCAATGTCCATTGGTTATGCATATATGCATAGAACTTCTTTGGTTTATCTCATCCTGCCCTCCCTCCCCCCTTCCCTTTGAGTTTCACCAGTCTAACAACAAATTTATACTTCTTAATTCCTTCACCTTTTTTACCCATCTCACCAGGCCCCGCCCATCTGGCAAGCAACAAAAGATTTTCTGTATCTATGAGTCTGTTTCTGTTCTGCTTGCTCATTTTGTTTGTACATTCGATTGTTGATAGATATGTATTAATTGCCATTTTATTGTTCATATTTTTGTTCTTTGCCTTCAAGAAGACCCTTCAACATTTCATATCATACTGGTTGGTGGTGATGAACTCCTTTAGCTTTTTCTTGTCTGGGAAACTGTTGATATGTCCATTGATTCTGAATGATAGCTTTGCAGGATAGAGTAATCTTGGTTGTAGATCATTGCTTTTTATCACCTTGAATATCTCTTGCCACTCCTTTCTGGCCTACAAAGTTTCTTTTGAGAAATCAGCTGACAGTCGTATGGGAGCTCCTTTGTAGGTAATGAACTGCTTTTCTCTTGCTGCATTTAAGATTCTCTCTTTGTATTTAACCTTTGGCATTTTGATGATGATGTGTCTTGGTGTGGACCTCTTCGGGTTCATCTTGTTTGGGACTCTCTGTGCTTCCTGGACTTGTCTGTTTCCTTCACCAAGTTAGGGAAGTTTTCTGTCATTATTGTTTCAAATAGGTTGTCAATTTCTTGTTCTCTCTCTTCTCCTTCTGGAACCCCTATGATGCAAATGTTGGCACACTTGAAGTTGTTCCAGAGGCTCCTTACACTATCCTCATTTTTTTTGGATTATTTTTTCTTTTAGCTGTTCTGATTGAGTGTTTTTTGCTTCCTAATATTCCATTGATGATTTGCTTCTTGTCTTTACATACTTTACTATTGAATCTGTGTGAATTATTCTTTATTTCAGTTAGTGCATCCTTCATTTCTAAGTGGTCCTTTTGATGTTGTTGATATTCTCACTAAGTTCCTTGGAGGTCTTCTTAAGTTCCTTGAAAGTCTCACTAAGTTCCTTGAGCAGCCTTATAACTTGTGCTTTGAACTCTGCATGTGATTGATTGCTTATCTTCATTTTGTTGAGTTCTTTTCCTGGAGTTTTGTTTTTTCTTTCATTTGAGACATGTTTTTTTGTCTCCTCATTTTGGCTGCTTCTCTGTAATTGTTTCTATGTATTATGTAGAGTTGCTATGTCTCTTAGGCTTTGTAAGGTGGCCTATTGTTGTAGGTGTCCTGTAGGATCTAGTGGCACAGTCTCTCTGATCACCCCAGCTGGGCCCTCAAGGTGCATCCCTAGTGTGGACTGTACACCCTTCTGTTGTAATTGAGTCTTGATTGCTGTTGGAATGTCAATGGGAGGGTTTTACTCAGGCTGATAAGTTGCAAGGACTGGCTGTGTCCACTGACCACTGGCTTCTGACTACCTTGGAGGATCAGCAGTGTAGGGGCCCAACACACAGAGCAAGACTTACTTCAGCAGGGCTCTGATACCCACTGAGTCCACTCATTGAGTGTGTCACTTATGGAGGTGGTGCTTCTATGTGGTCTGAAGCTGTCCACTGGGTGTGCTGGCTCTGGGGCAAGGTCAGCCTCTGCCTTTGTTCTGCCTGGTTACACCAGGCTTAAGCTACAAAGTGATCTTCAGATGGCTGCTTTTTGCCCTGGGCTTGGAGTTGCCCAGGCAAAGCCAAGCTGTGAACCAAGGCTGGCTGCTTCTAGTGCCAGGTCTGGGGCCACTTAACAAGAGGCATAGGGCTTGCTGTGACCAGATGCTGCTTATTTGAGAGATTTTAGGAAACTCTGAAGTAGGATCCAAGACAATCCAATCCTATGGTAAAGCCTTTGGAAACAGTTTTGGTGGGCCCAAAGGTTGGGTGGGGCAGGGCCTCAGGGAATCACCAGGGCAGAGCAAACAGTGTGAGCCAGGTTGCTGGAGTCCCTGCCCCAGGGAAGGGCTCACCAAAGGAATGAAGGCCCTGCCAGCATGTCTGTTTGAGAGAAAGCTGCCTCTCCAGCCCTCATCCAGAGGCCAAACAACTCACTTCTTCCCTGTATGTCTCTGGTGCCTTTCAAGCTGCCTCCCCTCTGAGCTTAGAGGGAGCAAGTCTGAGTAAGTCCATGTGTGTGTGGGCCCTTTAAGAGGAACTGCCTGGGGCTCATGAAGACTCAACCTCCCTCAGCCTCAGTTCTTGCTGGTTTTTACAGCCAGAAGGTATGGGGACTTCTCTTCCTGGCACTGGAACCCTGCGCTGGGCATCTGGTGTGGGATGGGGACCCTTCAGTCTTCAGGGAGAACCTTTCAAGCCGAGGTGTCCCTCCTGATTTTTATCTGCCACACGTGGGTGTGGGACCAGCTTGTCCGCGCCTCCACCTCCACCCCTCCACCCCTCCTACCAGTCTTGATGTAGCTTTTTCTTTAATTTTGTAGTTGTAGGACTTTCCCTCAGCTTGATTACAGGCAGTTCTGAATGGTGGTTGTGCTGTAGTTTAGTTGTAATTTGGTGTGGTTGTGGGAAGAGGCGAGTACCCCGTTGACCTATGCCACCATCTTGACCGGAAGTCGCCTTATTGGCCATTTTAGTTCTTCTGCAGGTTTCTAATTTGCTGCCAGTCCCCCCCGCCTTTTTTTTGTCTTTTTTCTTATTTATTCGTAGGGACTCTTTGTATATTAGTGATATTTTCTTTCAGTGTCTCACTTATCCTTTAACTTCATTTATAGTGTCTTTTTGCTGTACAGATGCTATATGCATTTATGTAGTCTGATTTATCAAATACTCACTTTATGCGTTCTGGATTTAATGTCTGGCATAGAAAGCCCCCCCCCCCAATGTATATAATTTCATTTCAAATAAGAATTTTATTGCTGAAAAATCTTTGCAAAGCCCAGGTTTGTAGGCTCTTCCTGGCATCTGTAGCACTGATACTGGGGGAAGAGGGCTGGCCCATCTGCTAAGCAGCTCATTTTCATCTCTGCCTCTCCCCCTCTTCTGGTTTGGGGTCGCAGTTGCTCTGTCTTTCTTTGGGCCTCTGTTTTTCTTTGTGTTTTGCCCTTCCTTTCTGTGTCTGTACTGTTTTCCATCCCCAACTTGTTTCCCACTGGGCAGTGGCAATTAGGGATGAGAGATGGCAGCTTATGGCAGCCCTCAGGGGTTTGGGATGGGATGGTGGTTGTCAGAGAGCATCCACCCCTCACCTTCCACCTGCTACCCTAACCCCGAGTCACATGGGCTGCCAGGGCAGGCCCTGACCCAGTTTTCTCAGAGAAACACATTTCCTGCCAGGACTCTGAGAGCAGGATTTGAGCCAATTAAGGTCCTTTACCACTAGGAAGTCTTCCCAGACAGCTCCTTCTACCACTTCCACAGCCCTGGATCTGGCCCCACCCTTCAGTCCCCCGCTGCTTTCCAAGTACTGAGTAACCTGGGGTCTACCTGGCTACCTCTCGGGATCTCAGTTTCCATCTGTGGAAAACAGGTCCTGAGAGTCTGTACCAGCTGCTGGGAGCCATGGCCCATGTGGGATACAGCAGAGCTAGCATGTCTTCCAAGACAAGCTCTAGAAGGAAGGTATCCTCTTTTGCCTTCTCAATACTCCGCCCCGCTCCCTCCACCAAAAAAGCAAATAAAAAAACACTCCAGGAGAGAATTTGCAAGCTGATGACAGAGATGGGGACTTGAGTTCCATAGGGCGAAGACTGATAACTAGGGCTCCGTTGTCCTGTGCCCTGCCCCAGGCCAAGGACAATGTCTGACTCACAGGAAAGAATGAACAGTGCAAGAAGGTGCTGAACCTGAGGGGAGAGAAGGGCAGTCAAGGACACTCTCCTCATGGTTCCTCATTTCTAGGGACTGGGGGTGCTAATGCGGAATACACCCCATCACCTCCTGGATGTGAGACTTCCTTATTGGGGCTGAGAGAGCAGCTGGGAGACAAATCAGGAAGACTTGGAGGTCTCTTTGAAGCATGGCTCAGAAACGCATGACTACAATTTTTTAGGTAAACTTCCCTGGACTCCTGCAGCCCCTTGGACTTCTGTCCTAGCGCCCTCCTTCTAACCTGTCTTCTCTCTGAGCTTTAGGCAGGTAGGAATGATGTCCTTTACATCTCTTTATCCAAATCATCAAGTCAAAATGGAAGGAAGGAAGGAAGGAAGGAAGGAAGGAAGGAAGGAAGGAAGGAAGGAAGGAAGGAAGGGAAGGGGAAGGGGAAGGGGAAGGGAAGGGGAAGGGAGGGAAGGGGAAGGGAAGGGGAAGGGGAAGGGGAAGGGAAGGGAAGGGAGGGAAAGAGGGAGGGAGGAGGGAAAGCAAGCTGGGGATGTTGGGTCAAAAGTTCAGGCCTGGGGAAGAGGAGACCTGGGTCTGGGCTTGACTTTTTGGTTGATTTGTGGGGTGTCTCCAGTTCTTATTGGACCTCAGTTTTCCCATCTGTACAATGGGAGTGGGCTTCTCAAGCTCTGTGATTCTATGACTGTTGACTAGAGTAGGCACATGCCTCTCTCTCTCTCTCTCTCTCTCTCTCTCTCTCTCACACACACACACACACACACACACACACACATGCCAGTACCATCCCCTTTGATCACAGTATCACTGAGCACCTACTGGGTGCCAGCCCACACAGGATGAACGAACCCGCTCTGGCAGTATCTTGTGGTGGCCATGTTGCTGGAAGTTTCATGCTCTCCAGGGTATGTGGTAATTCTGTTGAACACAAAGGCATCTGATTTTCAGACCTCTCTGAACTCCACTGAGGGAGAAGGAGCCAGGAGGGCAGGTAGAAAGCCCTCACCTCTGCTGTGGTTTTCTTCACCCCCTTGGTTCTCAGGCCTGTAGCTGGGACTTCATGTCCTTCTTGGAACTTGGCACCCAGGAATGCCTTCTGTATAGGAGAGCTCCTGGCTCTATTTGTGTCTCCTCCCATGCCCCAGATCATTGTTACCCTCTTCCTGGGGCCCCATTTCTATAGTAACTCCTTGTGATGCTGCTGAGGAGAGTGGGAGCTTCAGGAAAGTCTGGGGAGAAGGGAGCAGAAAGACCATTCATTATCTGGCAATATGGCAGCTGGGGGCTTGGAGTGGTGCTGTGGGGATGGCTTGCCCTGCTGGCTCAGGTGGAACTGGCTCAGGACTGCCAGCCTGGTGGCTAGGAAGCCTGCCAGGACAGGGCTGCCTGATCGGCCTGGGCCTAATTAGCTTGTGCCTATCTACCGGGAGCCAGTTTAGGCTATCACTGAGGACACTACTTAGTGAGGTCTGGCCTGGAGGACCCAGACCTGAGCAACTGCCCAGGCTTTGGCTACCCCTCTGTCCCAGGTTGGTACCATTGAGTCCTGTTCTGTCCTCCAGGATCAGCATCCATTAGGAGGCACCCCTGGGGCCTGTTGGCAGCAGGCAAAGTAGTTTTAGGCTGGTGAAGTGTGGGCTAGGCAAACCCTCTCTTACTAGGTACACACTGCTTTGTGGCTCTGTTGTCTGAATGGGAAGGCCAAAGTAGGCCCTAGAATCTGCTTGGTGCCCATGTCTCTGCCTCCTTCTTGGAGGAGAAGATTTCAGCTCATGAAACAAGGAAACCCTTGCCTCCAAAGAATCCTTCCACTCTCACCTACCATATGCCTAGAAATTCCACCATTTGTGCCTTAGTCTTGATAGAATGTTAATTTTGGAAGGGAGTCAGAGCCCTTTGCCATCTTCTGCCCACATTATGGCAACCATCTCTGAGCTCCATCCATTCCATCTGGAGGGCCCTGCAAATCTCCTGGGACCTAGGACTGTGCTGGATGTGCCATGTGGGGAATGAAGAGGGAAAGGAGGGGCTGGCCTGGCCTTCCAGAGAGGGAGTGAGCTGCTCATTCTCATAATAGCTGCCAGGAGCCAGGCCTGGGTTAGATGCCAACTTTCCATAGTTGCTTTTCTTTTTTTTTTTTTTTTTAATCCTCACCCGAGGACACTTTTCCATTTTTTGTACAGATAGAGTGGGAGGGAGAGAGAGGAAGGGAGAGAGAGAGAGAAACATCGACGTGAAGGGACACATCGAGTGGCTGCCACCCATACGACCAACCAGGGCCGGGGACAAACTGCAACCGAAGTACGTGCCCTTAGCGGGAATCGAACCCGGGTCTCTCCGGACCGCAGGCCGACGCTCTAACCGCTGAGCCAAACTGGCCAGGGCTCCATAGTTGCTTTTCACTACCTCTGGGCACTACCTGCACTCACCTCTACTTAATCCTTGTCTGTGCAGTGACTCACAGGTGAAGATGGATTACCCGGCACTCCCCAAGCCATACATCCATGAAATCACAGCTGTGATGTGCCTGTCTTTTTAATTTTTATTTTATTTTTTAATATACAGAGAAATAAACACATATGTGTGAAACTAAAAGTTTGTCTGTGCACTCCCACTGGTGTGTGGTCCCACATTTTGAGAAACACTGATCGAATTGGAACCTCTTGGCAACAACTCAGAAGGGGATTTGGGTCTTTGAGAGTTTGAGGAAACATGCTCAGATGGGGAAGTTTTGCCCAGAGCTACACAACCAGCAAGTGGGAGACTTTCAGCCTGATGTCTGTGGCCTTTCAGTCTGCCGGTGTTGCCAAGGAGACAGGACTCCCTAGTGTCCTCTCTACTCTCGGAGGTGGGGAGAGGGTAGTGGGGCAGTTCCAAGTTACTCTTGGAGAATGTGTGGCGAAGGAATAAACCATAAACCAGAAGAGGTTGAGCTGCAGGCATCCTTGGGAACCAGGAGGCTGAGGCTCAGGCACTTGGTAGGCATCCCTGGTGCTCTTTCTGCTCCCCCTCAAGGGCCAGCCCCTGGGTTTGCTTCTTGGGGCAGGGCTGGGAAGGAAGGCAGGCCCTGGTGCTGGGTAGATACCTACTGTATGCTAGGTCACAAGTCCCTTCTTTCTTTTTATCTTCCTAGTAGCCCTGGCAGGAGGACTGGTATCCCCATTTTATGGATGAGGGAAGTGAGACTCAGAGACTTGACTTTCCCAAGGTCACAGAGCCAGTGGGTGGGGAAGCGTATTCAGATCCCCCTCTGCCTGGGGCCAGAAACCCAGCATTCCCAGAGCCCTACCTGCCCCAGCTGGTGGCATATGAATGTGTGTGTGTGTGAGTGTCAGTGAGTGAGAGCATGTGTAAGTATGTGTGAATGCGACAGTGAGTGTATCAGCAAGAGAAGCATGGTGTGTGTGTGTGTGTGTGTGTGTGTGTGTGTGTGTGTGAGAGAGAGAGAGAGAGAGAAAGAGAGAGAGAGAGAGGTATAAGTGTTTATCGCCCGGCCAAGTGGGATCAGACCAACTGTGTGCATGGTCCCCCACTACTTCCCATAATTGCCCCTGCTGCCCTGTTTTGCTGACAGCTCATCTCCTCTTTCTCCCACAGCTTCCTGTGCCTATAGGCCCTGAGGCTCTGGTGCCAATGGGCAGAGAGGGCAGCTAAGTCAAGCCCAGCCTGACCCCCACCCCAGCTGCATTCCCCAAATGCCTGCCTGACCTGAGGTAAGAAACCACCCTGGGCCACTTGGCAGAGTGGGGTCCCCAAGGGAGAGGCTGTAGGGAGGCTATTCAGGGACAGTCTTTCTGGGGGTGCCTCCCTCTTTCCCTCGCCACATGAAATCCAGTCTAGGAGGTTTGATGGGATAGTGCCACTTCCTACCAGCCCTTGCTATAGCAGACTTCTGGTAGCTAGCTCATTCTTCTGAGTGACAAAGTTTCATGGACATGTCAACTAGTGGGTTCCTGTGTGGTGTGAGAGGTCTTTAATAGTGAGCTGAAGGACTCTGTTCTTGGTTCTTTCACATTGTTGACAAAATGTGTGCATGACTCCAGGTTAGGAGTGAATGGGAACAGGTGGACTGAGATAGTCAGGATCCAAGAAACTGTTAAGAGACTGACTCTGATATGTGGGGTTTAACAAGGTTCCAAGCAAAACTCAATGTGTGGTTCCAGACACTGTCCAGGCAGGATGAAGCACAGACACATGTGTGTATGTGTGACAAGCACTGACAGCCAGGTGACCTTGGCTTTGTGTGAGCAGAACAAATGGCCTCTTGGACTGTATCATGAGGAGCAGGACACCCAGAATGTGGGAGGTGACAGGCCCTCCCACTCCATATCCCATGTGAGAGAATGGAGGGAAACTACAGCAAATCTTGAAGAGATGGGGAAGTAGGGAAGGAGTGGGAACTGTGTTATTGCCTGGCATGACCCCTGGCTTGCTTGTGACCTTGCACAAGTGACTTCTACATTTTATCTAGGCCAATCCCCTGTCCTTGACAGACCTCTGTGACCCATGAGAGGGCTGCAGAGGAATTTGCTAAATAGAAGGAATGCTGGGGAAAGGCTCGGGGAGCAGACTGGCCAGGTATGTGCTCCCCGTTTTTCAGGTGAAGAAGACCCAGCAGCAGATCAGCAGGGCAGCAGGCCTCCAACCCTCTTCCTCAAGGATGGGGTGACAGTTTCAGTTTCGGTAGGTGTGGCTGAGGCTCAACTGACACTGTCCTCTCAACCAGGAAGCTAGTGGGGGTGTAGCAGGGAGCTGACGGCTGGGTTTCCTTCCTGGGCACTAAGTCTTTCTTTGAAGTTCAGTTATTGCCAACAAAATATTCCTGCCAATCAGTCAGTCCTGGGTGGAATAAGCAGCTAATTAGTTCCTCCAGTTTAATCTGTAATTGCTGCTGGGAGATGGGGAGAGAGGATACGGTCAGGGTTGTCTTCAAGGTGACCAGGGTGATGGGAGGACCTGGGGTAGGGGAGTCAGTGAGGCAGGGTGGCCGGGCCTTGCATCCACCCTCAGCAGGGGCCATAGCAGCCTCACCACTGCCCAGGTGGATGGCACTGTGGAAACTAAGCTAGCAGGGAGCTAGAGGGAGAGCTAACTCAGAGCGGAGGCTGTTCTCAGCTGGGAAACTGGAGTGGGGCTTAGATGAAAGGATGCCTGGGCTGAGACTTAAAGGCTGTAGGATTCTTTAAAAATCTTCTATTTTTCTGGTTGTTAAAAAAATGTGTGTTCCGTATAGAAAATATGAGCACTTGGGTGTTTTTCCCATCAGTCTTTTACAAAATATATTTTTATGACATAATTGGGATCAAACTGTACTTACTGTTTTCTAACCTGCCTTTTGCACTTAATACAATAGCAAAATCATTTCCCCATCATTAATACTCTTCTGTAATGTGATTTTTTTTAATGACAGTGTAATGTTTCAGCTTGTGTGAGCCATAGCATGTTTAACCAATTCTCCATTATATGTTTTGATTGTTTCCAATGGTGTCATTATAAATGCAGCCTGGATGTACAAGATGATATGTGTAGGGCCATGATGGGCAGAGAGGGTTAGGGAAAGGGGAGGGCTCAGCCTAAGCAAAGCTGTCGAGGCAGGGGACTTTGGAGTGTTTGGGAGTGATGTGCCAAGGAGGGGGTAGGGCTGGTCATGGGCAGCCTTGGAGACATGTTGAGGAGTTGAGACTTAACTCATCAAAGTTCTGAAGCCTGAGGAAGCTCAGGTTTTTTCTTGCTCTGTCTGCTTCTCTAGTGCTCCTGTGATTAGGGAAGGGCAGACAAGGCTGGGGTCCCAGATTCTATAGCCCTTGACCTCTCACTGATGGGATCATGCCCCCTTCTCCTGACAGCCCTGCCCAGGTCTACTCTTTGCAGGAGGGACACACACACCAGCTACGAACATTCACTGACCCCTGAATCAGTGTGGCTTGTGAGTCAGGCCTCCTTCATCCCCTCAGTTTGGAGTGGGAGGTGGCCCAGGGCCCTGAGAGGCAGGGAGAGAAGCTGAGGGTAGGGTGTCTCCTCCAGGAAGCTTTCCTGACATTTGGGCCCAGCTGGTGGCCCCCTCCCCAGTACTCTCCTCCCTGTGCACATTTGTTCACCTGCACTGCTTGAACACTGGGTGGAATTACCCATAGGTGTTGGTTTCTTTCTCCCCATAGACCACGAGGGCTCTCGGGGCAGATCTAGCCTGATTCGCCCCTTTGTTCCGTTGTGGCATACACCAGCTGCTGCACAAATGCTTGCTGAAGTCATTCACTAGTTCAATGGTTCATTTATCCTTCATTTGACACAGAACTTACTGAACACCTGCTGCATGTCAGCCCTGTTCTACATGCCCAGAATCTATGGGTCAATAAGTTAGACCAGGTCATTGCCCTCATAAAGCTTAAATTCAAACAGAGTAGACATAAGAAAACAGATAAGTAATTTATAATACAAGGTTAGGGAGTAATAAGTGCTGTGGAGAAAAATAAGTCAAGAAAAGGGTGGGAACATGCAGCTGGAGCCCTTCTCTGTAGGGTGGTCAGGAAAAGGCCTCTCAGGTGAGGTACTCTGAGCAGAGATGGGAGGAGAAAGGACAGGCCCCTGGAGGTCTGGACAGGCTCTGAGCTGTGGGAGAAAGAGCCTGTCGTGAAGAGGGGCTGGGAAACAGGGCTGCATGGTGTAAATAAAGGTGATTCATGCTCACAGGCTCTTCCTCACTGCCCTGTGGACAAAGATGGGGGGTGGAGTGGGCAAGAGTAGAAGCTGGCAGGCTGGTTAGGAGGCCATGGCAGGGAGGAGTGTAGGAGATTGAAGGGTAGTGAAAGATGGGCTGTGAGAGCCCGGAGTCTGAGAACTGGTGGGTGGTGAAGCCTCTGACAGAGCTGAACAACAGGGAGTCGAGGATGGGTTTGGAGGGGACGAGACCTATTTGGAGGTGTTACATTTGAGATGCCCATAGGCAGGCAGAGAGGCTGCACAGACCTGGGGTGTAAGGTTGTAGCCGAGGGCCGTTGGGGGCTGGGCATGTCAGGGAGGGAGTTATCAGCATCTGGAGGGGGTGTGTTTTAAAGCCTCTGAGCCTTGACATGGTCATGTACAGGAGGGATCTGGGCCTCACTGCTTAGGGTGACTCTTGCCTGTGGAGCTTCCTGCCCATGGGCAGCCCTGTTACTCCAGCCTTGCAGACAAGCTCTCTGGATTTGCTGTCCCAGAGAAACTGCTGCCAGCTCACCCTCCCAGCTGCTCCTTCCAAATTGCCTAATGGTTGGTACTGTCATTCTAGAACATTCTTCAGGGCGGCTGTGAGCAGAAAGTGGGGTGCTGCTACTAGGCCTAGTTATCCCACCTTTCCCTCCCAAAGGAAGCCTCATCTGGTAAGTCTGGAACAGCCCAGGCTCCTTCCTGTAAGCCCTGCTGATGGTCACCACTATAGGCCTGCCTTCGTGTCATGTTCCTCCTCAAAAACCCTCAGCAGCTCCTTGCTGCCTAAGGTTGAAGTCTAAGCCCCAACCCCTGGCTGTTCAAGGCATTTCACCATCTGGTTGAAGCCCACCCTTCCTGCCCCCCTTCTTTCTAACAGGCGACTCTCCTCCTCCATCGTCTGTACATAGCATGCTCAGTCTCACCTTCTGTCACCACCTAGAAGGCTTTGCTCAGCACCAGCCAAATCCTACTTCTTCTTGAACATCTTCCCCAACTCTTCCATGCCCGATAGCCACTTTGAATGGCTGTTTTTCCTGGTGAGCTAGCTGCCTGTGATTTTGCTGTCATCTTCCTCAACTTGTCTTCATCTTTGCCCTCCTCATCCTCTGTCCCTCATGTCTCCTGTTACACCTGCTCCTTGCCCCCATGCACTACTGCCAAATGGAATCCTGCTCAACCCATGGAGCTCTGTTTCTAGGGTGCCCAAGCTTGACTCTGTATCAGGACCACCCAGGGATGTTATTAAAGAGAGTGATCTTCAGGGTTTCACCAGGACCTTCTGATTCAGAGTCACTGTGGGGACCCAGGAATGTGGATGGTTAACAAGCTCCACAGTTACTTCTGATGATCTGCTGGCCCAACCCAGACTCATGCTTGGGGAGTGCAACTCATGCTTGGGGAGTGCAGCTGTCCTTGCACACCTGCAGGGATGGGGATCTCACTCTCTTCAGGGCAGCCCAGGCCCTGGAGGCAGCTCTGATGTGGAGAAAACTCTCCCTTATGCTGACTGAGTTGACAGATGGAGGACTTGCCTCCTTCCACCTCTGCCTACCAGGAGCAACTCTCTATGCTCAGCCAGCCCTCTGTGTGTCTGTAGATCCAGCCATCACCATGTGCATCAAAGGCTTTGGCATCATCAGAGCATATCCCATTCTTCATCGTATCTCATCCTTGTCACAGCCATGTGGAAGATGGATGCTGTTGTCCTATTCATTCTTCTAACAAGCATTTACTGAGAACCTACTGTGTGCCAAGCAGTACTGGGGATGATGGGAACAAGCTAAAGTTTAGAGAGGAGCAGGGGCTTGTCCAGTGTCACACAACTACTGAAGGCCTGAGTCAGCACTGAAACCCAGGTTTATAGGTATATTAGTTTGCTAGGTCTGCTGTAACACATATCACAAACTGGGTGGCTTAAACAGAAACCTATTGTCTTATAGTTCTAGAGGCTTGAAATCTGAGATCAAGATGTCCACAAGGCTGGTTCCTTCTGAAGGCTATGAGGGATGATTCTGTGCCAGGCCTCTCTCCTTGGCTTATAGATGGCCATCTTCCTCTGTCCCCCTCTGTGTGCATGTCAGTGTCCAGATTTCCCCCTTTATAAGGGCACAAGCCATATTGGATTAAGGGCCCACCCTATACCAGTATGACCTCATCCTAATTGACTAATTATATCTACAATGGCTCAATTTCCAGATCAGCTCACATTATGAGGCAGTAGGGGTTAGAACTTCAACATTAAATTTTTTGTTGGGGGCATGCAATTCAACTCCTCATGGCTAGACCTAGCATTTCCCTAGCAGTACACAGGTGGTGGGGAGCATATCATGTCTCAAGGTGTGCAAGGGAATAGGTGAGGCTGCCTAAGCTGTGAGGAATCTAGGGGAGATTACTGTATCAGGGCCGTGACCAGGGCTCTCGGAGGTTTGTTTCACCTGGGTTGTTAATCGGGGACCAGAAAAAACCTCATCCCTATACATTCTGGTAGAAGGCAGGTATGCATAATCAGGCTGGGAGGAGGAATTCCCAGGGCTCTACACCCCAAGCTGGGTGACCTGGGGCAATTGCTTTCACCTCTGGTCATCAGTCTGCCTAATTGAGTTGGGGACCATCCCGCCTGTGAGAGAATGAGTAGGAAGGTCTTGCTTTTGTTCATTTTCATGTATTCACCCTGCAGACATTTGTTCAGTGTGGCTATTTGCTAGGCCCTGTGCTTCTCCAGAGAAACAGAGATGAGATGCTCATGGCCCTGGCCCTCAAGACACGTACGGGCCATGGGTGGAACAGGCAGGTGAAAATGGCACTAAAGCTTTATGCTCACTCTGGAGCCAGACTGTACAGATCTAGTCCTAGCTCCGACTTTTGCTAGTGGTGTGAATTTAGGCCATTTACTTAAGCTCTCTGGGCCTCAGTTTCTTCATCAGTAAATTAGGAATGAAAATTACATCTACCTTGTGTGGATTAAGTAGATTGGTGCAGGCCTGGCCGGTTTGGCT